TTCATATCTCTTCAACAAACTAACTTTTATAATTCTGCCAAATAAATGAATCGAATCAGCATTTTTATAATCGTTGGTCAAGATATTCCACAATCTTAGCCTGAAGCTCAGGCCAATTTTTTTTCATTTTTTATTTTAAAGATTATTTCTAACTGTGTGTGGATTGTCTTTGGAGGATTTAAGACATGTTCAATGAAAATTTTGTCTTTTTAATTCAAACAGGATCGTAGCAATGACCTAAATATGAGAAATGTAAAGTTTATATATTTAATTTATATGAATATTTTGACACAAAACACTAAATTTGTGTCTTGATTGAAAGTACAGACTGGTATTTAGCTCTGGTTCCAATGAAACCATTAGATTTATTGTACCAGTGGAAATATTGAAGTACTGGACCCCCCCGTACATACACACACACACACCCATCCACACACACCCTGGTATTGGTTATATCTTCAAGTTATGTTTAATGTTAGGTTGTCCTGTTAACAAATAATAGACTTTGTGACGACTCGGCTGTCGGCTTTTCATGAAGCGTGAAAAGAAATAATCAGATGTCAAATATTCAACATCCAGCAGAGGTTAAATGTAAAAACACAAGTCTAACTCTAGACTGATTTAATCACAAACTTAACAGAAAATAAAAAAAACAGCTTCGACACAGGCTGAGTCCAATTTCAGGGTCTTCGTCCTCCAGAGGCTGAATCTTTCGGCCGCTAACGTYACAGCGCTGCGTTGAAGGCTGTCTCAATTCAAAGACTCCTCTGATGTGGCCGACGAATGTGTCCTTTTTCCCCAATTTGAGGGATGGTCTGGTGGGTCCTTCTTGGACCACCATATCCCATAATGCATTGTGGGCCGACCAGAGCTTTGAGAGAGGAGTACAGATTTAGGGTTGGGCAATATTGGCAAAAAAATTAATCATAATTAATTGTGGTATTTAGCCGATAACGATTAATTTGACAATTAATCCCCCAGAGTCCCTGGACACCCTTAAATCCTAGTCACATGACTAATTTATAGGGAGAAAATTGTCTCTTAGTAAAAATCTGTTCCAAATTGTGTCAAAATTACAGACTTCAGGCTATACATCAAACTTTAAATTGTGTTGATAGATAAATAAATTACACAATTTTTTTTAATGTTGGTCATATTTGAATCTGAGAGGAACACCAAGCGGTTGGTCTGCCAGGTGGCATTAATCGTATTAATTGTCAACTGCCAAAAATTAATCGATTGTCTTTCTGACGATTAATTGCACATGATACGATTATGCCCAACCCTATACAGATTTAAATAAAAATCTGGTAGTATAAACATTAAGTTTCAAGCAGCTGTGTTAATGCTTTTATCATTTGTATAGACGTTTACTACGGCAGGTCCATTAGTTCTTCAATTATTACCTTTTAAGATCATTGTTGTTGTTTTATGACAATTGTAATACTAATATATTGATATTAGTGGACCTATACCTTGGAAAGACCCAGTTCCTGAATTAGGACACAGCTCCTGATATATTATTTAGACCTCCTTGAGGCACATCAAACACACTGTACTCTAACTAAAGTACTTTAAATACTTAACCAAACTGTTCAATCATGATTGAAAGTATTTATCTGTGCAGTCTACAGGTCAGAGTTTTGATCCTGAAGTTGACCACATCTACAGGTTGGCTCCTAAAATCAAAGAATGGCAGAAACCCTTAAAGAATAGACCCCGTGCAGAACCATCCTGCAGGATTTGTTGAGGCTTTAAACAGCCGTCCTGCTTCTCCTCGGCTTCACCTTAATGCACGAGGTGTTTAGATTCGCTGTTGTCAGGAACTTGGAGGAAGACCTCTAAGTTGACACTTTAATGCACATAGAAGCAAGCTTTTTATCTGATTGCACCCCAGTGTGTCTGCTCCGGTCTGCACCCGACCCTCAGACAGGAGCTCTTTAACCTCTGAAGCAGGGGTGCTGTGTTGTCTGTGTGGTTGAGTGTTCTTGTCTTTGGGCACCCGAGCTACGTTATCTGCTGTCAGCCAGCTTGTCAGAGCCAGGCTGCCCCCCTGCCAGCGTAATGCTCCCCCCCTGCAGTTGGGTAACTTTGACGATGAGTAGTTCTGCAGTGGACAGTAAAGCCTGCAGCAAGAGGTATGCTTACACAGATCAGCCCAAGCAGCAAGGTAAGTGTCCCATCCATGTTTCTGATACAAGTTGTGCTTTACTCAGGACCTCTCTGTCTCCTCTGTCAGCGCTGAGGGCTTCTGGCATCACACGCAAAGCATGGATTCACAGTGCAGAACCTTGTTCCTGAAGCTCTTTGTGTTGCTGGAAATGCAGCTGTTGCCTTTGCAGTGTGTGTGTGTGTGTGTGTGTGTGTGTGGGTTTGCACAAAACATGTATGAATGACTGAGTCACTTTGGTTTAGAAACATGCAAACTCTGAGTAATTTCTTGGTTATTTTACCAAAACCAAAATAAAATGTTCAGCTTTCATGTGATTAGTGGAGACAGGCAGGTTCTGTGCTGCAAACAACAAAACTCAAACAATAACTACCTTTGACCGTGTTCCTCTTTGCATCGTAACCTTTCACTTTTTACTCATCAGACTCTTCTGATTTTTATCTTCTGTGGGCATGTTTTTATTTCTGGGCTATTTCATAGTTCTGACACTTTTTATAAAGATGAGTGCTGAACAATAAATGGTTTATCATCTTTTGGAGTAAAAAGACACGAGCCGAACTGTAGTTGTTGTATTTTAACAGGAACCCAGGTTAACTGTTAGACAAACCGAGTTTCTGAAATATAAAAACCTAAAGAAGATGAATAAATTCTGATTTATTAGCAGGCAGAAGAAAGAGGTTCATAGACGTCGCTCAGTAACTGTTAAAACAGCTTCGGTCGTTATCCTAACCGCTCCATGTTTGTTGGAGGGATCTTGTGTTCAGTAGCTGTGTTTCCATCAACATTTTTTTATTCACATTTTGAAGTATCACGTTAGGAAAGGTGGATGCAAAATTTAAAAAAAGTTTGCTTGAGGTTTTTTGATTTTCCGAAAGAGTTAATGACCTAAAGSGGAGATGGAAATTTGTTGATTTTAAGTTCTGTTGTAGTGAACATTTATCAGCTGTTCCTGGTGTCAAATAATGGTACGTCTCCAGACAGCATGTAACATCAACACTAGCTGATATGACAGAATAATTACAAATTTCCTGATAAGGTCTCTATTGTCCTTAGATGTATTCTTGTGAGTTTACTTCCTGTTTACTTCAGCCATGTGTAAACGTCGACGTCTGATGTAATTACACTTATTGATTCGCTCCGAAGCTGTTGAAACACTTTTTTTGCAACATTTTTAATAATTTTGCGTCTAAATTAAATGGAAACATGGCAGCTGATGTGAGCGCTCGTTTGAGTGTTTTAGCATGTAATGTAGGAAAAGAAGTGTCAGCTAATTGGCTCAGCAGCATCTCTGTCTAGAGTTGGTTTTGACAATTTAGCTGCGTTTCGTTGTAAATRTGTGCAGACCTTTGTCGATATTCTGTTAGTGTCGAAAACACAGTTTCGCAATGGTTTCCATTATGTAAGAAATGCTATTAAAGTCACACGTGAGTGTTTGTTTTCGCGATAAGTCATTACAAACATGGCGGCGATGGATGTCAACGYACCGCATATTGCTACCATGATGTTAGTAGGGGTGTCCCGATCCGAATCCGATATCGGATATCGGTCCGATATCAGCCAAAAAATGAGTATCAGATTTTATCGGCCTGCAATAAAAATGTCCGATATAAGCGCTCCRATATTAGCAGTCCGTTCCAGCAGTTCACTGACTCCGCTCCAGTGTTTCTATCCAGCAGCGCTTGGATCCAGCTTGTAGCGGTTACGTGATCACAACAACATGCTGCGCTAACAAGTTAGCAAGAATGTCAGCAGAACTTTCTATTGTCATCAGAAACAGAGTTGCAGCTAAGTGCAAAGTTGTCATGCACAAGTTTTCCGAGGGGGAACACAGAACCGTGAACGTTTTAAACCGGAGCGACAACTACTCTCCACCCTGGCAGCAGCTTTGCGGTTCGACCCGGTTCGTTCAGCCTCGATCCAGTGACCGCACACAGCCGCGCTGTTTCAGAACCTCCTCTCTGGTCCKGTCGGTGGTTCTAAACTGGCAGAAGCGAGGACAGCACGCTTACAGTTTTGACATCCCGTGGATTAGCTCTGGGATTGATTGACAGAAGAAAGGAGAGTGCAGCTTTTGTTTTGGAATATAAGCGCGACATGACGAGAGCAGTGATAAAAACTGCTCCCTGCAGGAGTGAGAGGCTGATCTCCACATGATGCTCAGAAAATGCAGCAGTAAGAAAGATAGTTATCAATTTAAATAATTGACTAATTCTTACTATTTATTTTTGCTCTTGTTATTAGAGTGATGTTTAATCTGTTTACACTTGTTTGAGTGAAGATTAAGTGCAATGATCACATTGTTTTAGTTACAGTCAGTAAAATTGGAGCTGTGGACTCTTAACTTTGAACAGACAATAATGTGGGATTTTGTTTTGTCCCCACCTTCAGTTTTTTTCCACCATAAAGCAGTATCAGGCTGACAGATGATTAAAAAAAAATAACTGGAGTGATTTTGAATTATTTTACACTTTAAAAGTACATTTTGTTTTTATTATGTTATTTTTTTCAGGGTATTATAATTTATTTTATTAAATTGTATAATGTTCTTCAGTTTAAAATGTATGTGATCCATTGGTTAAAAATAAATGGGTCAGTTTTTCTCATACCTACTCTTTTTCACTGTTTGACTTGATCAAGATTTTTCTAAGATTTTACATTACAAAATAGGTAAAAGTGTGTGACTTGTACTGTTATGGTAACGGGTCAATATCGGTATTGGTCAATTCTCAAAGTTGTAATATCGGTATCGAAGTGAAAAAGTGGTATCGGGACATCCCTAGATGTTAGCSCTTATCATCAGAGGAGACGTCGGCGTCTTATCGAGGCTTTCCAGCTCTAATTGACGTGTTTCCATTGAGCAAATTTATTTTCGTAATTCTAATTTGATTCATTTTTTTTAATCATGTTTCTGAACCTGTTCATGTTTCGTCTCCTCCTCGACCTGCTCTGCACTGACTTCAGCATCTGTTCCCCGTGTTTGAGTCAGTCTACTGGAGTACGCTTTAGAAAAGTTTTTTATTTTGATTTATTCTATATATTTATCAGTGTTGTGGGTTTTAGACCTGGTCATTGGGGCTGTAGTCTTGCATAACATTACGTTTTTAGGAGTGTCTTTAAAGAGACAATGTTATCAAGGGAGCGCAGATTAAAAGGGAGTTAATTCCAGAACCTGGGGGCCACAGAGGAGAAGAACCGGTCACCACTGGTCTTAAAGTGAGTCAGGGGAACCATAAGGAGATGTTTTTTAAATAAATTAGAAACAATAAAACCTGAAGGTTGAGAATCCTTTAAACGTTTTGGAGGCTCTGATCACCAAGACAGGAGTGTTTTTGAATCTTCTGGGCTGCTGTGGATATAAAGGATGGGCGAGGTGGTACCAGGTACCAGGAGGGCCGGGTTCTGATGTGACTGTGTCGGCCTCTTCAGTTCTGTCAGCAGCAACATGTTTCTGTACGTTTAAGTGAATGAACTGTGTGGTCCGTTTGGATCAGAACAATGAACCTGGTCAAGCTGTCTGAGCGTGGAGGACCTGAGAAGCACTCAGCTGTACTTTGGGTTTTTCTCTTCTCCACAGTGTTTGTTGTGTTTTTGTGGAACAATCCTGGTGTTGAAAGTTTCGTAGATGTAAAAATGGCGGCTCGTCGCTGTGAGGAGGCTGCTGTCCGTCTGCACTGTGATCCATTTCCTGATTGGCCAACTTTTCTATCATCTTCCTGTTTGTGTGATGCCAGAACCACCCTGTTGGCCCGTTACGCCTGCCCCCCCCCCTCCCAACGGGAGTGTGAGAGTCCGGGCCTGAGAAGGACCCGAGTCTTGGTCTGCGCGAGTTTAGGGTGCAGCTCTGTGTGGGTTCAGATCCAGGTGTCCCAGGATCTACTTCCTGTCTGTTCAGGACTCGAGCGGCCGCTGTTGGAGGCGTGTCAATAACACTTCTCCTCATCCTGACACTAATGCATGTCCTGCAGCATCACACACTCACAACAAACTGTCACTATCTTACCTGTGACACATACACCTGCCCACCAATCACTGCCAGGCTCTCATCGTGCGTTCTCTCGCTGCAGGGGCGTCGCCAGACTGACGGAGGCTGAGGGTCCACTCCAGACCACCCCGGTAAGACCGGCAGAGACCGACCCTTCACCTCAGGGGGGTTTCAGTTCTCAGTGTTTGTTCTGTTCCTGCAGGTAAAACCTGAAGCCTGTCGTTTGCAGGAAAACTCACTGGGATCTGATCTCCATGTTTGAGTCTGCAGCTYCACGAGGACGGAGCAGCATGTACGTTTGTTTTTCTGCACAATTTCTCTTCAAACTGTTAACTATTTAATCTATTTAATTAACTTTATAGAGTCTATTTATATAGTCTTTAATTTTATTTTTTTATATACACACACACACATCTATCTCATAACAGAAATAAAATGTCTTAATAGACCGGCCAGTCTGGCAACATGACTTTTTGTTTGATGCTCAGTCATTACATCACTGTCTATCATTGAGTCTACATTATAATTTATATTTTTCAGTTTAGCTACTTAACAGTTCAATAAAGTCCATATTTTACATGTTTAATATCAGTAAATAATATATTTGACAACAGATAAAATTGATTCTAAATAAGGTTAAACATGAACATTGTAGCTTTTTTTAATGTTAGCGTACAGGTTTTACAATTAAAATAATAAATTTTGGTTAAATATGTGTAATATGTATCTGTGAAACATAACCCTTTTAGCTCTTTAAACATGTAACAATC